GAGGTCGCTGTCCGTTCTCGAGGAGGGTTTTGCTGCAAGAAGTTGGAACTCTCTCCAGTGTTCGCGCATGGGGCTGCGGGCAAGGGGTGCGACAACGGCTTGTGCTGGCGACCAGCCGCACCATCCACGCAGTCATCCGCGCCTGCATCATGATCAGCATCATGATGCGCGCCGCCAGCAGAGCGCGTGCTCGGCAGCATGCCGCTCACCTCCTTGCATCAACGACTGACCGCTGCTGTGGTGGCCAACGGTGGAAGCCACGCTATGCAATGCTCTCTCTAGAGGCTACGTGTCGATAAGGTAGCACGGCCGCCCTGTCCGTCCTTCACAGCACGCGCACCTCGTGCGCGGCGTGCGGAGAAATGTAGCTACAGCGCCGGGGTTTCCCCACCCCAGGAGAGCTTTGTGAATAGAACCAAAAAGAGGTTCACCGAGCGAGCGCGCGCACGCGCATCTCCAACCAATGAGGAGACAGTAAATTTAGAAGTAAAGATCCCTTCGCACGGATGGTAAAATGTACTGGAAAAAAAGGTCGGCCCCCGCGCGCGGGGGAGGGGGGGGGGGGATTTGGTTCTGAAAAAAGATAGCGTAGCAATTGGTGCCGGTTCGCGTGCCAGCACATGTAACGATTCTGCACGCGCGAGAAGGAAAGAATTTAGATGAGATGAGTGTTGTAGGAATGAGATTGATGCCAACGATTACCGCGATGCTCTCTTACGTTGTAATCTGGACTCATGCGCGCACCAGGATTCCTACAACGTTCTCGTTTCCGCCGAAAGCGATACACACTCCGCAGCAGGCGCCTAGTACCGTAGTTGCGCGGTGTACACCCGGCGTCACGCCCGAGACATGCAACAACATCCTAGACAGGCTCAGCAGCAGCGAGGCCCCGGGCCGCCAGTAGCACCAAGTGGCGCCGCCAACAGCAGCAAGACAAACAACAACAACAACAACAACAACAACAACAACAATAGCAGCAGCATCAACAACAACAACAACAGTAACAACAACGGTTCTCTGACACCAACTCGCAAAACAAGGCGAGGCAAGCGGGGCGGCAGAGGAAGGTCCCTCTCTCCGCGCCCCGGCACACATGGGGGTGCGAGTGAGGTCGGTGGGCGGGTCGCAGGGGCTGCCTACCATCCATCCGCTGGGGATTGGGCGCCAAAACACCAATCTGACGTACACGGCCTTCCGCAACGCCGTGCGTCATCACCACCGTCCTTCTTGATGTGTCAACAGCAGCAAGACGAAATGGTGGAGGCTGCGCCTACCCCTGCGACCGCTCTTTCTGCCGCCGCTGCCGCTGCTGCCGCCGCTGCGTCTGCAGCAACAATACCTGGTGCTGCTTGGGGTCACCAGGTTCGAAAATCAACGATGCAGTCTAAATACTCAGAGTGCATGTTTCATCACACAGAGTCTCGACTACCTGTATGGTCACGACGAGTTGGTTCAAGGTAAAACCTCAGGGTGCCGCCCAACATATAGACTACAGTATGCGCAGCAAAGTTTTCGCATGTTGTTAAACGCTAAAGTTTGTTGCGTCCCTGGTTTCATTCGTACACATTCTCCCATACGTAGACGACTACAGCTGTACATCTCGTCATTCGTGTACCTACTTACGGGTACCTTGTCTGCTTTTTCACCGAGAAGCTTCGATTTGGGGTCAAAAGCAAGAGGTTCCTCTGCAAATGTATGCCGTCACGATTACGAGACGGACTACGAGACGGACTCAGTGGTCTCCTTTTCTTCGTGTAGCTGTTATTGATAGCTTGTCCACACGAACAACAATGCCACTTTGGATGTTAGTGATGCAGGAAATGTTACTTGCGTAGACAAAAGCCTCTGCGGGTCCCCTTCAAAAGGGGTACCTGGCGCAATCTTCTCAATGTCTGTCGAGGACAATTCCCTCTTTTCACGTTGGCGTCGACGAAGTGGGACATGGTGGACGCTAACGACCGATGGTGGCGTGCTTGAGCAACCAAAATCAAGCCTCTAATAGTTTGGGTGCTAGTAAAGCGGTTGGCGGGTCCTAATCCCAGGCTGAATACTTTCAAAGTGGGCTTCCTTCCCGAGACCTCGGATACTCTTGGATAGAGCATTGCATGGGTGACTGAACAGCTCCGAGTCTGAGACCCTGGTCATTCCGAATTGGATGTGGTTGATGGATTGAGAGGAAATTCAACGAAACAAACGCTAGCGCAGGGGGGGGGAGCGACCTTCCTTGGAAGGAAAGTGTCGGGTCATTCGGACGTCACGGCTTACTTTTTGAACCGCTATCATACCATTCTACCAGTCAACGCCGACTGGTCTAATTTTTGGTTGCTAAAAAGCATGGAGCGATCACATCGCTCTATCACTCCGTTGACAACCAACGCTTATCGAGGATCAGAGTTGGTTCTCTGTCCTTGTCAGGGACGTCCTGCGCAGGTGATATGCCTTTAGACACGACTATGTCGTGCGGCTGGACATTCTTCCGCCCCAGGGCACCCGAACTATGTAGAAAATATCAGGTAGATTGGTTGCCCGCGAGCCTCGAGTAAATGGGGCAGCAAGGTATCACCGGTGCAGGAAGTCATGACAGGTGGTAGAAATAGAAGCCAATCGTTGACGTTGACACACCTCTTGGCGACGCTGCTCTCTTGATGGCGGGTGAAAACTGCATGATCTCGCTATTTTGTGCACGGCAATACTGGACACCATTTCGAGGACTTATATGGTGCATTTCACGAAAGTACAGTACCAGGGAACACGGTCGTCCTATGGGTCAAGATGCACCTTCCAACACAAGAAAGGCTGAAACTACCGCTTTTTGAAGTATACCGTGAACTGCGCTGTGTATCATCGTTCGTGGTTTGTTTGTTTGTGTCGCCTTTGATTTTTTCCCACTCCCGCAAGCAGTGGCCCGACCCGGGGCATCACACACGGGTAATCACTTGTGCATGCCTTTCTTTGGTCGTAAAACCGAGAGCACATAACACCTCCTCAGAATAACGGCGTTGTTCCTACCTACCCCTCTGAATCCCTTCCGACTGGCCACACGCGCACGACCAATGGCTCATGTTTGTCTCGTTCCCTCACTATCAGGAGATGTACGGGAGGGGCAACGAGATGCACGACATGGTTGCGGATCCCGTGTCGATATCCTGGATCGACACCAGTCGCTCTTACTACCAGGCGAGCTTCGCGTTCGGCCACAACTACTCCACGATGGCGGCCCACCACCCAGGACGGAGAGAAGCAAGAGCCGGCGCAGGCAGCATCGGATACGGCACGACGAAGCCGCGGTCTCCGAACCCCCCCGTAGCCGCACCGGCAAGCGTACGACGCCCAAGGGAGCCCCCCGCACTCCTCATCCGGCGCGTTCAGGGCCTCCTCCATGAGATGTCGTGCTTTTTTGCCCATTTTTCCAAGCGCCAGATGAGGTAAAACTAGGGGGGGGGGTGATACGCTCGGTCGAGGAATCCTACGCGCTGGTAGTTGAACCCTCCATTTGTGGCGATTGGCTCCACCGTGACAACGTTCCTGACTGGAGCGAAGCTTTGACGAAACGCGATCAAAATATTTTCTCTCACAGATTCACTTGAGCCCGGCAACGGCCTAGCCCGCCTGCCCAACCCAGCTCACACAGCATGGCCTAATGCGTCGCTGCCGTACTCACCCCCCGTCCAATGTTTTCACGGGATCAGCCCGTCAGTCGTGGACATGAAGAAGGTGGAGGTGCAGCTAGGAGGAGCATCCGCCCTTTTGCATGAGCTGCAGCAAGGCCTGGCCGAGACGTACAGCAGTATGCCGGCTGCCCAGCCGTGCGTGGCGCCCTCTGTCCTGCCCCCCGATGTCGAGCAGCAGCAGCAGCAGCAGCAGCAGCAGCAGCACAGAGCGTACGCGAGAACGGACATGACGGCGACACACGCGCGGCCTGCGTGGACGGTGGAACCAAGAGAGTTGTTCGCGGACGGCCAAGGAGTGGGAATGGGGTGTAGGGGGATGAATAATGAGCCGAGAACGCAGGTGGTGGGGGGGAACAGCGGATGGCAAGCCGGGACGGGGGTAGCAAGGGGTGTAGGCGGGTGTGGGGGTGTTGAGGTGCTGCAGCACGGGGAGGCGTCACCGAGGGGAATGCCACCGTTGTATGAGGAAGGCTCTGCGATGGCAGCTCATCCTCCTTCTCGGAGTGCCAACGCTGCTGCTGCTGCTGCTGCTGCTGCTGCTGCTGCTCCTGCACACGCCGGGTCTCACCTGCCGTTGGAAATTGAAGTCTCAGAGCGTCTGAAGAACCAGGTGGGGACCTTGAGTTCCACGAAAGCGATTAGGGATGCGTGATTCTCGTGTCGGTGCCGATTATTCTCCAGGTTATCTCAACGAGATGAAATTTGCTCTTATGCATGCTGGATGACGCGGAAAGGCCATACCGCTTAAATCCCACATTGAGAAGTGTGGATGATTTTAGTTTTATCCTTTCCTGAGGAACCCGTACGAACCGTACGGTTAAGGTACCTCACAAACTTGCTTCGACAGCGAGAAGTGAACCACACCAATAAATAAAACGGCATTAGTTGTGTGGGCATCAATGAGGGACAAGATTCGACATGAAAATGACTCCGTCTGTGCTGTGTATAGCAACTGTTCTGGTGCCTGTCTTGGCCGGTGTGCACACACCTCGTCAAGGTCTTCGGCGACGTTGTACTCGGCAGATCAGTTCGTTCTACAATCGCGACTGACAACGGCCGAGTGCAGAAGCAGCACACCCAGCCTGTGATGTACTTCTATTGTTCTCTGTTAACATATAGAGTATTGTGGCACGTTTCGTCCGCTTTAAGCACCATGCAAGAAGCGTTGCCATCAATAGGGAGCAGCAAGTGGGGTCTTGAATCGAGCGTTCACTGCCACAGAAAACCTCAGGGGCCAAAGGTATGCCACAAGGTCCCTCCACCGAACAAGGTTTCCAAGCCCTACCGCGCACCACATGCCTAACCGAACGGCCCGTTTTATCGGTCACGATGACGTCGACTGATGACGGCTTTGGGGCCAACGAACTGTTCTCTGGGGAAAAGGTCGAAGATGTCGCCACGCCGCCGGCTGCAGCAGGCCCCATGGCGGCGATCGGTACGCTGTCCTCTACCGACAACGAGTCGGAGGTATGTCCGGGTGTGATGGTGGTTCACACATTTGTCAACGTGTCGGGGACGAGAAGACGTCTTGACGGCGTGCGGTATGTTGAGAAGCACGATGACCAGTAGACCAAAAGCTAATGTCCGGGGCTCGAATCTCCCCTCGAGCATAAATTTCTTTGCGCCCGAGTTTATGAGGAAGAAAAAGTCTGGGGAAATAGGTTTCAAGCCGATGAACCTCTTGTGCCAACGGCGTTTTCCGGGCAAGACAGCGCTGATCACAGGGAAGGCAACCCTGGGGGGGCGTGTTCGTGGCTGCAAAGCCAGACCGGACACGGGCATTAACTTTTGTTGAGAAGCACGATGACCACTACACCATCAGTCAGCGCTGACTAGTGGTCTCGTGGTCATCGTGCTTTTCAAGAAAAATCGAGTCCCCGCACAAGACGAAGATGATGACACCCGACGCAATGGGCTACAAAGCAGGCAAACAGCGGGTTGAGCTGCAGTTTGGTGCATGTCACCGGAAGTCTCGGAAGGGAGCAACTGGATTAGAGGGTGTACGAGTACGGAGCGGCAGGCGAAGCGTCGGCTACGAGCTTTTAGACACAAAGGGCAGCATACGTCACGTACATGAGGGGGAAATCGGTACACATTAACGAGTGGATGTCGGTAGAAAAGATCCTCCACCACCCCGCTCGCTCAACCTGGATCTGTATGTTCACTTTCCACTTGTGCTCTCGTCGTCCTACCCCCTCACTATTTGATGTTTGGAACCACGCAAACATGGACGGCGACGGTTTGTGCGGTGGTGGCATTCTCCCGGGACGTTGATCTCGCAGATGGTTAGTGGGGAAGGGGTTGGTGCCGTCAAGAAGAAAAAGCGGAGAGGAAAGCGAGGCGTGCGGAAGGGAAAAAAGCAGGTGCGAAACGAGTTGGTTCGTTTTTGGCATACCTCACACAATGCTGTTCCACGAGCACGTCCTCGAAACACACTTCCAACACCTGACTCGTGGGCGCACCAAAAGCAGGTACCCATCACAACAACATCTCACAAAATGGGACGACAAAACAATTTTTTGGAGATTCCTAACGCATGCGGGCTGATACTGGCAAGGTGAACATCATGCAGTCACGAGGACGGGCTTGTCGCCGATTCGTCCAAGAGTTGTTCGTCCGGCGTGTCGGTATTTGTTAATACTTGCTGCTTCGGGTTGTTCCGTTGCTTCCGCGCAGATGGAAGGATTTGCCGGATTCCCGCTTGCGCCCGGTCTCGGTCCGGAATTCGCGGGACAGGTGAGGGAAGACAACCATTCGCACCTATTTTCAAGGGCAGTTACACGTGTCGGTTAGAATAGTGACATCGATTCGGCGTGTAGAGCACGTTGGTAGTTTGTTCTTGGAAGATGACTGACTGTTGGCTGTGGTCACGAAAACAAAGTCGTATTTTCACAGTGTTTTCTAGCCGCTGGTACTGCAACATCAGCTCTTTTCGCGCGGAGGGTGTGGTACCAACTGATGTCCTACTTTCAATAGCGCTTGAACAACAGCTTTGTTCCTGGTTACCATTGATGACCAACTCCCCTTCCTTTTTCCTCCCCTCGTCCCCATGCCATCTCACTCTGCGACAGCCGCGCAGGCGGCTTCCTAAGGCGCCCTCGCTAGAGATCATGCGTGGCGAACACGATCTGTCGGAGTATTGTCTTCAAGACGAAAGCGGCAGCCAGACGGGCAGCGACGCGACGCCAAAGATCGCGCCCGATGGTGCTGGCCGCACGATCGACAACGGTCAGGAGGACCTCTTGCCGGCGCCTGGGCACACGCGCAGCGCGGTCGTAGATGATGGCGGTGGCAATGGATACGCATCGGTTGCAGACAAGAGGGGCGTAAGCGCCCAACGCCACAATCAAGAAGACGGAGCGGACCGAAACGAGGGATACGATGAAGATGACTGCGACGAGGACGATACCTTGGGGGACAATGAAGCGGAGGAGGTGTACACTGCCCTTGATCCTGCTTCCGTGGATGTCCAGGAGCACCGACAGTTCGCAGCTTCGCGCCAACAGTCGAGGGACCTTTCAGACTGGGGACACCTTGCTACCGCGGACGCCAATCGCCCATTCGGCGACAAGCGTGAGTTCCATCACGGAGGCTACTATGCGCATCCGCAGTGCTCGCCGCAAGGCAGTGATAACGACGCTCGCAAGAGCAACATCAGTTCCGTCATCCCTGGAGTCCAAGCAGTGGTGGTGGCGGGCGAGGAAAGAGGCAGCGGAGAGGGAGAAGGAACAACCTTGTGTCACTCCAACCGGCGACTTCCGACTCCTGGCAGCACCTCCAGCGGCAGGCTGGGAAACACGCCTCTCACCAACCCTTCAGAAACCCCTGCCACCGCTAAGTATGCCGGTGGCAGTTCAGTATTCTTCCCGGAAACAGGAGCTTGTCCAAGCGAAGGCGGCGGTAAAGGTTCAGGTTCGGAGGGCGTTATCGGTGGGAAGACTGACTGCGGCAGGACGGGGGGCTACACCAGTCCAACGACACCGATGACCGCGCAGGTCTCCCCGACGGAGCACTTTCCTGGGAACAGCAGTGGTGGCGGCATCAGCGGCAGTGGCAGGGGATCGTCGGGAGTCAGAGACAACACTCTCACCCCAGCAGCGAGCGTCTCCGCCTCGAGCCCGTCAACAAAGGCTGAGCAACGACAGCAACTCTCTGGAGGTGCCCACGTCGATTCTATGAAGGATGCGGTGGAAGATCGCGACGAGCCTATGCCCCTCAGATCCGTTGGAGCTACGCCTTCGAACATCGACGTTCACGCCGCTTCCACTGACGATACCGGTAGCACTGCTGGGAACTTCCAACCACCACCGTGGCCGCAGCAGCAGCAGCAGCAGCAGCGACAACCGCGACCGCATCACCTTCGTGTCCGCAGTGAGGTATCCGCGACCGGCCTGTTTGGTGGAGTGCCCAAGAGGCGGTCACCCTCCGCCGCCGATGTTGGCAACGCCTATCCTTCAGCAGGCACCCCTCGGCGCTGGGGATCATGGGCAGCATCCTGTCTCCCTCGCGAACCCAGTAGCGATACCCCCACCCCTGAAGGGTCAGGAGCGGGCGGGCCGGGGGAACGGGAGCCGCCAAGGGCGAGGAATGGTAGCGGCTCGCGACACCACCTGGAAGGAAGCAGGCTGATTTCTCCGCCGCGATACAGAGCCACCGTCGCCGACGTCCAGGAGGCGTTCGAGCGCGCGGACACGCGGGTTGCTAAGGGTCAAGAGCAAGGCCTTTTCGGAGAGGGCTGCAGCGGCGACGGTGGCGGTCCGAAACGCGCGCAGCCCCAGGAGGGGGACGGTGTCGGGCACAGCAGCGGAGGCACCCAGTCGACGTCGAAGCTGGTCGTACAAGACGCCAACCCGCCACGAGGCGCGCCGCCGTCGTCAAACGTCGTGGACTCGTGCGGTGCGCGAGCCACCTGTCGAGGTTCCCGCGATGAAGTGAGAGCCACGCCGGTCGGCCTAGATAGTCGCTTGTTCTGATCGAATACATCACGGCGCTTTTCAATGCCGTGGGTCAAATTCGGAAGCCACGCCGTGCTGACTTACTGGGCCGGTCAAATGCAAAGGGGCGCCTGCCTAATAGACAGGAATGTCATCGCAAGCGACCAGGGCTTTGAGCTGGGCTATTTGCACGCCGGCGTGCGACTACTTTTAGAATTGTTGCTGTGGAGTTCGTCTCTTCGCGCCCCCTGCCTGCTTGTTAATGTTCTACTCGCTCTCGATATAGTCGTTGTTTTTGGCCTGCAAGACAGTTTCTATTTAACACGTCTACGCACCTTGAGACTAGCTCGTGATTCTCTTATCCAGGACGACGAGTTCCAGAAGACTCTCCGGCAGCCATGGAATCGCGAGTCCGACAGCAGCGTGGAGGCCCCGGGGTTGCCGAGTTCAACCCCCATGTACAGGCGCCCGTCGGCCTCCTCGACGGGAAGAACCACGAGTCCGCCTTTCACGGCGATGCAGGTGCTGCAGCGGCAGGCAGAACACCTGCTGACCACCAATCAGGAACGGCCGCAGCAGCAGCGCAACCAGGGACAAGACCCGGACAGTTTTTGTGGAGCGATCGGAGCAGGAAGTGAGCCGCTGCCGGCGCCGGCCGGGAAGGCGGGTGCGGTAGAATGTGATGACCAGGGTAAGAAAACGATGTTGCCGGTGTTTGTGGCGCTGTTTGTTTCTCTTTTTGGGCGTTGCCGTTGGCGGTGTTGTTGTTGGTTGTCGCTGCAGCTACCGCTACAGTGTTCTTGGTCACTGTAAAGTTGGGCATCGTCCTGGATGCATCTGCCGCCGTCACCAGGGCACCTTTTGCCTTTTTAACAGTATCCTGCTCTCACAGAAGAAAAACGTTCGTCGAGTATGCGGGAAAGGGTTGGCTAGCACACATACTGGCATGAAACCGCGAGTACAATGGTAGCGACCCCGATGACAATGCATTCAACGTGTTGGCTTGATATCTATGATCACCAACAGTCAAAAGGGTCATTGTTGTGGTGGTGGTTGTTGTCTTCACATTCGCCGTGACGTTACGACCCTTCTTTCCATCACCTCCGCCCACTGATGCTGGAACTAGACAAAAACACGAGTACCCATGATGGCAAGCCAACCAAAAGAAAACTAATCAACATTGAACTAATCTTGGGCGACATTGCCACACGATGATGGAAGTAAGTGGATTCCTCACTCGGCTGTTGAAAATGCCAGGAAGTTTCATCACACATCAGCGTGTTGGGGACCCGAACTCCCCGTAAGGGGCACGATCGTACACATGACGCCTCCACGAGACGGTTGGGTAGCGTTCCCGCGGCTCTCTCCGAAGGCAGGGAAGGCGTCGAAGCCCTCGCCCTGAGCGCCTTAGGCATGAATGCCCACATCGCCCTTCGCGCGGCCCGCTGAACTTTTCGCGGTCATCTGATTGTAGGAGGATGTTGTTAAGCCAGGTCGGCCAGAGCCATACATGCTCTGTACCGGCTCTGCGGGGGTGCGAGGGTCATGAGGCTCGAGATGTACACGGTTGCGCACGAGAACGAGTACAACTCTCCCCCCAAAACCGAAGGGGGGTAGGATTTGCAAAATTGGCGCCCGGAAAAGAAACGTCATTTCGGGTCGAGGCTCAATTTGATTTTACGTCGACACCGTTGAGACATATTCTAGGTTATTCAAAGCAAAGCTTAGTGTAGGATCCACCGCTGAGCTGCGTTTTATAAACGTTTCGTCCTTTTTAGTTCGCGACAGTTTGAGCCTCTATCTCGCTACAGAAATTTCTTAACTGTAGGTCCCTGCTGAAACTGCGGCCTAACGTCGCAGGGTGAACACGTTGGCAGTTATCGGTCTCGACTCGTGTCTGCGCGAAGAGAGAATTACCGGACCCCAACTTCAAAAGCGTGTGCGTTCTTGATGGATCTACGTTGGCGCGCAACCCACGAGCACACTGCCCGACCAAGGACCATATCTCTGTCGACACGTGTCGTCCTGACGCCCGCATTAACCCTTTCCCATTTAAATTTATGATCCCTATCGTTAGCAGGTGTGCGTTGTCTCCTTGACGGGCGAAGCGATCAGGGAGCTTTCGTTCACGAGGCTGTGGAAGTCGTGGTTCGCGCACCTGATCTGTGATCGGTCAGGGGAGGGCCGCGCGGGAGGAAATGAACACCAGCTGGGAAGAATGTGATTGGGGGATTGGTGGAGAGTAGATTTTCTGTTGGAGCACCGGCGCAGAGGGCAAGAAAGGGGCGTTGATCCAAGGAGGGCAGGATGGCAAGTCGCGTGAGCTGAACTCAATTCTCACGTTCACAGTTCAGAATCCAATAAGCTTTTTCGTAGTAAATGTTCCGGTAGGGAACTGACGGTGCGTCCTACGTACTGTTGAGTTTGGGGGGGGGGGGCTCTTCCTCTTGTGTACGTCAGGTCGTCTTCTATGCTGTTGATCGAGCAGGGGGGGGTAACTAACGGTCGCCCCAGCAATAGTAGATGTATTGCACGAGCGGCGTAGGTTTCTCGCAGATTCAGGCGGGTTCCAGATCTAATTTTTGTTGTAGGCTTACTGGAGTGTTCAAGCACCAGCATGTCATGTGTGATACCTCTGCCGACGGGTGTCTGTTTTCTTGCCTGCCTACTTGGTGGTGAAAAATTCACGTGTGCATTGGTTGTGGTATGCTATTACCGTGGTAAATGCACGTGTGCATTGGTTGTGGTATGCTATTAGCGTGGTATTGGCAGCTGGTTCGTTTTGACCGAACGCGGGAAACTGTGCCGAAAGGGGAAACGGGAGAAAAGGAAAGCAGATCATCGAGGTGTAGCGTGGAGCATCATCATCAATTTGTGGTCTTTCTGGTAGATGTGAGCAAGAGCTCCAATGTTTGCGCACACAAATAGGTAGTGGTTCAACAACTTCGGGTGTAGGTTACGGGTGAGCTCAACGACCGGGACACGATGTTCGTGGATGAGGGCGCGGGAAAGAGAATTAGCGTGTACACTAGGCACGCCACAACAGCACTCAAACATTCCTTGAACTCAATCTTCACCTCTTTCTCAACTGGTTTGCTGATAATTGTTCATGGTAAGCGTTGAAGCAGAAAAGTTGAGAAGAAACCGTCCAACTGCGGGGGGTTCTACTGCGAAGACGGTGGCCATGCGCCATGTCTGTCTGTTTGCCTGTATTTTGGGTATCTTGTGGTAATTGCTTCTGCTGTTGTTGATGTGTTGGTGGTCTGTAGTTAGTAGTGTAGGTCTTGAGCACCTGGCACGGGAAGCGGAGGCGGGAGACGGGGCAGGAGCGCAGGGGGGGGTTCATGGAATTGATCTCTAGCCAGAGTACTGGCTGGGTGTGCGGAAGCAGGCGATGAACTCTTACTGCTGTAGACCCCCCCCAGCGGTAGGTAGTAGTTAACGCGATGCAATCGTTGGAGGCGAACCGAATTTGCGCGATTGGTGCGGGTGGGTAGGGGGGGGAGGGGTCAGATACCAAGACAGACAAGTAGTGGAGATACTGGGGATGGGGAGAAACGACGAAGGCAGAGAGGAAGAGAGAGACAAGAGAGAGAGCAAGGCCACGGGGCAGAGGCATGGCGAGCGAGAACAAAGTCGAGTTCAGGTTCGATAGACCACGGGGGGGAATTCGTAGGAAGAGAAAAACAGAGCAGCAATACAACCTCTTTCGGCTGCTTGGTTTCAACTACCGTCAATTTAGCCTGCTGCTAGTGGGTGAATTAGGTTAATGGGGATCACCGGCCACAAAAGTTGCTACATGCTCAAGGGGCGAGTGTAGGGTTTGGCTCCTGTTCTTGTATTTCGAATAATCGAACGCTCAAGTTTGCGGTAAGTATCCTCTGACATGCCCACTAATGAACTATTCCTTCCCCCCTAGAACGGTCGCGGGGTAGACGGCTTTGAAGAATCGCCGTTTTCCCGAGGACGAACCCACAACGCCATCCTACGCTACGGAATTTGAGCTTTCTTTGCGGTCAACGAGGCAAGAACGAGGGGGATCCCCTCGTTGCCTCTCACGCTGCATTGGCTGAGGTCGGAGAGAACGCCACCAGGAGAAGGTACGCGACGCCAGTGACACTTTCGCGGTCGGGTTCTTCTTCCTCTGCGAACCAGGCCATCCCAATCCCGACCCACGCCCTGGAGCAAAGTGTATGGGGAAAGCTGTACCAATACGTATTGCGAAGACATTAAATCGGTTTGTCTACAATCCGCCGGTCCTTGAAAATCAATCACGTGCTGTGTGGAAGACAACACTCTCTTCTTGTCCAACCGGTGCAGGTTGTTGTTGCTTTCCGGTGTTCTCTTTCTCTTGATTACCGCTTTCCCAAGCCAACTCACGCAGATCCCAAGCACGCCGATCGTACGCACACTGAAAGAAGGGCATGTGCCTCGGCGTGAAGCCCTACAGTCTTGCAATGAGGTCACGTCATTGCATCTGACGACGCCAAAAAAACATGGTCAACCACGATCACATGTCTACCTCCAAAAACCATAACAAAAGTGATACGGGCGCCTTCCGTCCACGGGTCATAGGCCAACTACCCAACAAACAGGGCACACACATGTAAATACAACTACAAAGGCGCTTCTACAGGTAAACCATTTGCCCGAAAAGAAAACATGTACAGTAGTGTTCCAGTTACATAATGCAGTTCCCGACAACGCACCCACCTTCTTTCGATCTGCACAAAATACTACTGTATGATGGGCCGTTTTTGGGCGCGCAACAAGAAGGGCACAGGAACAGGGGCTCGAAGTGGTCGAATGCTTCCCCAGGGTTGGCGAGAACACGCGAAGCCACGCAGTACACACGGGACGACGGGACTTCTTCTCCAGTCTCTTCACGAAACGGTCGAAAAAACGCAGCAACAGATGAATGCAGTGCAATCGTTGGATGCTGTGGATGGGAAAGTTATGGCTCATTTCACCTGTCACCACAAGCAAGCTGCTCATCTGCTCGTTTTTACTCATTCTGCTGCTGCTGCACTGAGTAGGAAAGAGACGGCCATGTATGTATAGCAGTAGTCTATCTCCATGCTTGACTTATAGTCTATAGACTAGACCAGATGCTTCGAGCATTCATTCCCGATATCCAGCCCAAACGCACGCGGGCTGCTGTAGTTGGCTACAAAGATGACCGGAGGCTTGGACTTCTTAGCTTACCCAAAGAAACAAGAGAGATGAGCAGCGACAGGCAGCTTTTAGCACACTGCCTTACTGCTGTACATCAAACATCTGCTGACGATGTACATATACTGCTGTCGATGAAGCAGTCTACATGTAGATCTTCTACCTTGGAAAAGCCAAGCCAAAATAAATTCCTTCCGGTTGCGCCTTGAGAGCTCCGATCCGGGGTCACGCAAAAACATTCTACTACTGTACTGCCTTCATGGTCAAGCGCGAGAGGGATTCAACAGCGACGACAGGAGTGCATGCGGCGTGTGGTCCTTGTTTCTGCTGATGATGAGTATGAGAGCAAAAGCACAGAATGATGTTGTATGAAACATACGTGATGCATCATGCCGCACGAAAAAAAGAACAAAGAATTGCTTTCTTCGGTTCGGATTCGTAAAACTCTCTCAGAGAGTGGTCCGCAGGCGCATTAATGTCCGAGGACATCACGCTGTGTCTTTCACTTCAAATTCTCGCTGTTCAACAGGGGAGCGTCGCTTCCTTCCGCTGTTCGAGCTTCGCGGAGCATTCGACAGGGCCGGAGTCTACGGGTGAGTGTAGTGCACACACACCCGTTCAGAGAGCGCGCGCTGGAGCCACGGGCTTGTTGTGGGCACCAGCAAGCACCCGCAGCATAAGTTCAGCCCTCCGAACGGGAGCGGGCCTGTTACGACCACTCTTTCGTTCTTGCCGTCTTGCGAGGCGGCAAGTCTCTGTGAAAGGGACGGACGACAAGCAGACCCGACCCCCAGCGCACAGGAGGAGGAGGAGAGGCCACAGCAGGAGGAGCGGCAGCGCAGGCTGTGATCGACCATCGGACAGGGGTGGGCGAAGGTTTGTAAGAAGTCCTTGTTGCTCGGGGCTCTCCGAGTCTCGAGGGGTGAGCGTATTGTCTTCATCATCGTTTGTTTTGGGGAAAACGATGGTGCGTCTACTGCTGTGGTACTGCTGTCCATGGTACACGTACAAAACACAAATGAGCGAGGCACGACCTTTTTCTTTTCTTCCCCCTGTTGGGAAGCCACACCATCAGCGACTCCTGTGTGCTGTAGTCCACCCACCACACGTGCAAGCCCCGTCCACAATATCGACAGCATAGGAGAAAGCAAGCCGCTCGTTGTCTCACCTGCTGTCACGTCTACGTGCTGGCAGAAGGGCAGAGAGGAATCGTCAGAACACAGACGGTGGTTCTGTGTAGAAGGTAGAATTTGCATGTCCCCAGGCCCTGCATCATCGTGGTGCACGAGGCCGCATTTGTGGGCTTTTATCCGGCATCTGGTCGGAAGTGCACCGCAAATCCATCGACTCTCTATTTAGCTTTCTCGGCTCCCCATTGCTCTTCAATTGATATTCACCATCGCGCGTCCCTTCTAATTGTGTCGCAAAAATGTGTCCTCGTCTTCACAAAAGTTGCGGGGTCAATGCTTCTTCCAAAGTCCACATCGTCCGAAATCCTAATGCTTGTCGTGATTCATTTTGATATCTTGACACGATTGTACTTACAGGTAGGTTGTATTCATACGCCACAACAGCAGTTAGCGTCCCTTAGCACCATTTGTGAACCCCTACAGCTAAAACCTATTGCGCGGCACTTCGTAGCTCAACCCACCGTAGTCTATGTGTGTGCCGTAAGAGTCGGAGAGATGGCACCCCCGTGTAAGCATTTTTTTGTAGCGTATTTCACAACAACCAGGGGGGTACCCGTGGCGAAAAGGGTAGTTTTGGAACTCGTCGAGGGCTTTCCTGAGAGGTACCGGTTGGTGTTCGCACCCTCCTACTTGTGGGGAAATAGGCTAAACGAAAACGCTAACACGGGGGTGCCATCTCTCCGACTCTTACGGTACGTAGGAATTGAGAACCCCGGCCGCAGCCAATTTTTTTCGCTCTTTTTCCCAACAAGATACGTAAACCTTTGACCACGGGATTGGTCGGTCAAGTGTTTGATCAGAACGGACAGATAGAGGCATTGGTGGAGAGATCGGAACGATTTGTAATGTGAAGACAACAACAACAACAACTACAAGTACAACTGATGATTTATATCTGATTTATTTCCTTACGAAATAAATCCCACCACATCCCGTATATCTCGAACGGGTAGTCTTTCTGTGTGTGTATTGATTTTTCCAAATAGAATCAGCTTTATTCAGTCACGTCCCGTATGTATGTTACGCGGCCAAAAAAAATCGAAAGCAAACTTCGGGCGGGCGGAGTCCCAACCTTAACACGAGTTCTTTCTTTTTCCGAAGACATGAGCAATAACAACATGCCGCGGTGGAGTCATCGGTCTTGTTCTTGCTGTTGCCTCTTGACTCTCCGTGTTTCTCGCTCGCGTCCTGGTTTTTGATCCCAGCCCATGCGCACCATGGGGCCTCTCGGATCTTCATTGCTGCTGGTGGCGTGGATGCTGGGCCCGGCTTTCTCACGGGCACAAGAACTCTCGTTCGAGCCGAGGGCAGATGCCTTCGTGCGCAACGCGGACAATAATTTGTGCGATGAATACTGGACGTCTTGGCCCGCAGTTCAGGAGCGAGCCATCGCTAACGGCACCGTCATGGTCTGGCACATGGGCACATCTGTCGGCAACCTTATGCGAACTCTGATGTACATCCTTCCGGTGAGAGAAACAGAGGCGACCAGATGCGGGGCATATCCATCACGGGAGTTGACCGACATGGGTGCAATCATCTTTACCAGGCCACTGATTGTGAAGCTGATGTTGAACGTCGATGTTGTGACACCGAAGACACGGATACTGGTGGTCAAGCATTGCGTAGGCTCGGGCGACGACAAATCTTCAATTCGCGGCTCGTTGTTTGTTGTTCCAGCAAGACAGACATTTCGCGCCGTAGCGAAGTAACCCTTGGGCGACTGGCACTGAGAGGTAAAACAGGTGCACGCGATGCCACCAGGGGGTGTCAGGAGCGCGGCAATGGAGAATGTCCCGTTTCGCAGACACCAGATTGCCAAATTGAACTGAAATCACCGGTGAATTCCTCGCCCCCCCCCCCCCTTGGCCCCATGGAAGCTTGCTCGCATGCTGCAGGTGGCCTTGATAATCAACTTGGAACAATTCCCAGCGTTTCGAGTCGCGTTCGAGCCAGAAGCGATCAAGTGGGACCTTGATCCCGAGCCGTTCAAGCTCAGGGGGAAGGAAATTTCCAAAGGTGGGTTATTTTTGTTCGAACGATCTCGCGGGCATGCGCGTTGGAATCGCTTCCAGCGATTGCAAAGGCCTAGTGTGGAGCACGCAAACGAGGTTTGGGTCCGAGTTGGGTGGTTTTTTCGTCACTCGTGCCAAACTCGACTAGCTGTTCCATGCGTTTTCTGCGGTCTCTCAACGTCAGACTACATGTGGTCTCATTGCAATATTGTGCGATGGAATCCACATTGAGGCTCTTCGTCTGTCGCCTTTGACCACGCAAAGGGATCGGATCTACTCTGTAGACGGGCGAAAGATGTCGTTCAATGTGCAAAGCATTCCCGACCTGCGACATCCGTGAGCAAAAACTTTCCTGTACTGCCGTTTCGCCTTCTACCCGACGCAACCCTTCACCCGATGGCAAGGTGTCGACACGGAAGATCGTCATGCGCTGCAGTTTCTAGATGGCTTCCTCATTGTTTCCGATCATCAGCTCGAGGTGATGTCTGCGAGTTTCGGCGTCGGCTCAGGGACCCACGCTGGGATAAAAGCCGGGTTCCGAAAGGCATTCAAGAACAGATGGAGGCATTATTTTGCGATGGCCAACCTAGACCTGGCCCCGCCATGCGCATGGAATATGGTCCTACGACGCAGGTTTGTAATAGGTGGCCCCAGACTTGACTACTCCCGGCACATTCTGATCGCGACGCGCAGCAGCTATCGGGTTCTTTTTTTCATTGCTTTTCGACTTTCGTGTTGTCTCTCCTGGTGTTGAACGCACGTTGTGAGAGATTGATCGGGCCGTGGTTAACGGGGTTCACTCGGCTGGCTGTGTGCGGTGTGCAAACGGGGCAGTGATTACAACCTCACATATATGTAGCCAGTTGAAGTCGATCGCCCAGGACACGGAAGCGAAGGACGTTGACACCGAAGGAAGTTTTGAAGGCCGGCACTCCTTTCCCTCTCTGGCCTGCGCCAAGTTTTAGGAGGACTTTGGTTTTCCGTTCTTGGCGCTGCCTCCAGCAAAAAGAAAGGCCAGAACACTCCATACCTGGAGAACGTTTCAGCTCTGTCTATAGCAGCCTGCGTCCCTCACACATAGATGACTCCATCTTACGGCGACCCGTAGACAAGATGTGTCCACATTTTTTTGTGCAAGCGTCAAATTATGAGGGAAAGGGAGAGTGTCTTGGTTGGAATGTATCCCAATCCGCAGAGAGTGTTAACAACGCCCCGCCCGCCTGCCCGCCAACATGAATCCAGTCCTACGATGATGAACAGCATGGAGGCTCACACTCCTTGGGTGACGGTGGGAGACTCTCCCCGGACTCGCGCTCACTACCACGCATGGCACATTAGAACTTCAGAGGGAGAAACGGAAAGATCCTTCTCGAAGCAACGTTACATCTTCAACAACGTGGCTTCTGAGAGCATATGCCCTATGTTCGTGTCCACGAGGGAGGCCTCCGAAGAAGCGTGTCCCTCTCGCTTCTCTGGGAAGGACTCACCCGTGTACATATCGTCCAACAGGTAAGGGCAAGTATACTCAAGCAAGGCGCCTCCACTGCCGCGTTTTTCACTCTTTGTCGCGTGGTCAAATGTTTTACCCACAGCGATGGATCCTACTTGACTCTGATTGAATGCCTAGAACCGCCCCCCAGGGTACTACATCGTGTGGCATCAGAAAGGGAGAGGAGGCACGAGCAGTGATACACATACGATGCGCGCACCGCATGCAAGCACGTGATCACCGTGCTGCTCTGAGAGTTTTCGGACGAATGGCACCCTGAGCGTGATTTCGCGTGGCACCCGTTTCATGTCGTCAGCAGTCATGGCATAAGCTGGTACTGCCGACACAGAGCAAGAAGTACCATGGGTCGCATAAGATGATTCCACACACCCGGGGCCAATTTTTATCTCTATTTTCTCTGCAGCACGAACAGTGACGGTGCCGAAAAAGGCGGCCTGGGAACGTCTTGTCGAGAATTTTTCGAGAAACGTATTTTTTGGGGCAAACGACAGACAACGGCGTACCGGGGGGTTCAGGTGACATTGAACGGTACACAGGAATTGACTTGGGAATTGACCCCGAGGCCCCGCACTGTCTGGCCAAGACCACACAGTACCGTTTTCTGGCAGCTGCAGCGGGGAATACCGATACTGGGCTACTCGAGTCGGGTTTCACCGTTTATTGTCGCAAAATTTCCCGCACAAAACACGGCCTGATGCGACTGCGGACCTCGCAACTCACAGATCATGTGCGGAACGGCTCTGTGTGCACTCCGAAACATCTTCATGCGGAAGTTATTTTTTGCAACAGTACGATATCGGTATTTCCCCGCTGAAGCCGCCAGAAAACGGTACTGGGAGGTCTTGGCCAATCAGCGTGGGACCTTGGGGTCAATTTCCGAGTCGATTCCTTGTGCACCGTATTATTTCACCTGAACCCCCCGGCATTTCGTTTTCTGTCGTGCCCCAAACAGCGGTACGTCACTTCCCCGTTTTGCTTGGCTGATGTAGGTATCCTTTGGGCAGGCGAATGTAGAGGTCAAAACAATCCCCGATCGTTCCTGTTTGTGGTTTGACTTTTGGTGGGGTCACCGCTTGCTGAAACACAACCATCACTTGCTTCGCCACCTTTTGTTGCGTTGCTCAACTGAATAATTCAAACGCCATGTTGCGTTGCTAAACTGACTAATTCAAACGCCATGAGCTGTTTCGTACGTTCACAACTAGCTGCTGTTCACAACATCTTCGTCGTACCAGTGGCAGCAGCTTCTGTGATTTACAAAAGACTGGAGAATTATGTTGTCAAAAGGTGTGGGAGGCGGCGCTCCCTTTTCTCGTTTACCACGTTGTTGCCCACCACAATGCACCAATCGAAGTGGCCAACCATTACACCTTTGTGAGAACACCCTTTCTGTTACCGAGAAGGGTCCCTGAAGTGGTGAATAACCGTTCACCAGCGGAGGTATTTCGCTCTTATTTCATTATGGCGAGGAATTGTCAAGCGTGGCCGGCGTTGGTCGGTCGTGCTAGGTTTTCGAAAGGTCAATTATAAGAGTGAGCCTCGGGTTCACGCTTCCATCCTCCGGCTGGTCACAACAGGCGGAGAATCTTTCTTTGTAAATAAATATCTTCAGACCCCGAGAACATCGTTCGTGGGTTTCGGATCTATAATGTACGTGCATCACTACCACTAGGAATATCCCTAGTCTATATCCTGGTTTCCACGCATGGACGGTTCTAATCTAGTCGACAATGTTGAGCTTGCGTTCTCCTTGGTGACGACCGTGGTTCTCGTTTGGTCGCAGTAGAAAAGTGCGGGCCTCTGCGTCTTGTTTTTCCACTGCCCGCCCTGGGCCAATCCTGCGCTCGTAGGAATCGGCTTTTTTCCTTCGAAACCCGCGTTCTTCGCACTTACGTACAGTGTTGCTGCGCCTTGTCCCCACCAGCTGATGTCCTCTGTCGGTGTTTCTCCGCCTTCGACTTTGACCTCTTCTTTCGCAGCAAGAGCACGGCCCGCAACTGCTCGGCCGAAGCTGGAAATAAAGACATCGAGACCGCCTTCGTAGATCTGGGAATAGACGCTCAAGACGCGCACACGGCCTTCAGCAAGAACCCAGACACGGTTGTCAACGCGTTCATTGACTTTCTTTATCTGATGGACGCTGACATCATCGTCCGTACGGGCTCGTCATTCTCGGGTGCCATTACTGACATTAAGTCTTATAGATGCATGGATGCGTACCTGGGCAAGTTGCCCGTAAGTCGGATATACGTTTGCGTGCCGGCGGATTGTTAGCTGCAGATTTGGATGATTGACCCGTTTAATGTGTTACTGCTGTCAGTGTTGGATTACTTGTCTGTGAGTGAAATAACTTGTTAATAATGTCTACAGTAACTGGCGCGAAGTGGGTACTTAGAGCCTGATTAGGAAGGCTTCGGATGACCCACAGTACGGGTGTGTTTTCTCTCATCGATCCATCTTGGGGCACATCTGCTATGTAGAGCCATCCGAGCTGAGAAGTTCCCATGGAGTACTCTGTATCGCGGCACAGCAGTATAGGGGATGGAGGATAGCCAATGCCTTGGTTTTTGTCCGCGTGGGAGTGGAGCATGCAGGTATCGCCGGTGGAGTAGTAATCTCGAACCACCCACACATGTTATTGTGTGTACTGTACGTGGGGGGAATGACTTGGCCGGTGTAGCCCCGGCCGGTGTAGCCCCGGCGGGTGTAGCCCCGGCGGCAAATACGCCCCGGCCTGTAGGGCTATATATGCAAACGAGGATATATCAGGCAATTTTTACTACTTTTTCGCCTTGATTGGTAATGTTTGATGCTTTGTTGTGTGTCTTGTTTTTCTGAGATCCTTCTTTCCTTTTTCGGCTTCTCGAGAAGCGTGCACCACCCTATTGGGGGTATAGATACTGTAGACTGTGACCACGGAAGTTGTCCGAGTTAGTTGGACTACGGGTCTTAAAAGGCTGGAATGATTATTAATGTGAGACAAAACCACGAACGAGTTGATCGCCATGAGCAACGTCGTGTAGCCACGATGATTCCAACAACCCGGTGTAACATTATCGCGAGGTGCATTGTGGAAACTACTACCAAAGCAAAGTTGTCTCTCGGGATGCCGACAGCTAGATATAGTTCGACTGGCCTTTCTGGTGCTGAAGGTGGTTTGTCTGTTGTGGGATTACACCCGTAGCGATCTCACTTGTTTATTCACCTCTTCGAACAACAGTGCTTGCTGTTGCCTTGCTCTCGAAGGTAGACTGGACACACAGAGAGGGGGGGACATGCTCCCTCTAAAAGAGGCCGCAAAGCTCCTGTCCCCGCTTTATCCTTCAAATCGGAAGTCGCACTCGCACTTTACTCGGGGAATTATCCCGCACTATGTAGCGATCAAGTTACATTCAAATCCCACATAACATGTCCAGGTACCTCCAAAAATAATATCCATGGGTTGGAGTAAACGGCACTAACCAGTGCTATGAGCGCTGATTTGAAGTGAAGACAACAAAAAAAACAAAAAAAAATGTTACGTTTGTTAAATAACCGTGTTGCGATCTCTGTTCAGTACCTTCTAATATCCGCATCGGTTGATCAAACGGACGCGGACGCCGCCGTGCGTACGTGGTCGCAGGCTAATCACCCCAAAAGGGAATAGAGACAACACTTACAAAATAAATAAAAATGACGCAGAAAAATCGCCACAAAGGCAAACAAACGTACGTATAACACAAAGAAAGCGAAGAAAACAAGAAGGCCCTTACTGGGCCGTTGATACATTCCAATTTTATGTTCCAAAGTACAAAATTTCCAAAATTTTGGAATTTGTACAGAGGAGGCGTTCCTCCAAATTTCTTCGAATATTCCTGGGCCCGAAAAATTGTGCCCAGTAGCTTCCAAATTTTGTCCTTGAGATCTTAAGAGAATTGGTGATACAACAGCAGTTTTATCGAGCCCGGGATAAGAACTTGACAGTTAATAAATTGAGCCTCGAAAAACTCAAAATAAGGACTTGAGAAAGCTGACCCTAAGTGACCGCGCAAGGGACACCAAGTAACAGACTGTGGAAAGCGCACCACATGCTCGCTGTTGGTCTTTCCTCGACTAGCCTTCACACCCGCGGACGAACAATAGGTAGCCGCCGAACTTTGGCCGAATCGCTGTTCGTAGACTTGACCGCTTGCCTTGCCACCAGCCTTCTCGAGACTGGCGCAGCACGCCTATTCTGTCCTAAAGTGGCGCATTGAGTGGAGGCTAGGGTGACGATGTATCTTGCTCTGTCGTGCAGAACGTCGTGGGGGGAAAAACGCATCTGTGTTTTCTCGTGAGGAAGTGGTTGGTGTACCTTTTCGCTGCCTGCCTGTGATGTGAGGTGGAACACTCGGTACGTTGGCGAGGGCTGGTATAGGTGGAGGCAGGGCCGCGAACCTCGTCATCGTACCTTAGTTGAGTTCAGAGAATTCAGCTGCGGCGAAGGGAACAGAAGCAAGACAACACTAAAAATACGCCAAAGGGATGCTGATGTGGGCAGAAGCAAGAAACACTGCTGACGTTAGGCACCGGTGGCGATTCGTTGAAAATCCCCACGACAGACCCCGAGGTCTAGGTCTCGCTAAGGGCACCGCCGCGATCTCGTGCGTGTAGCGTTAGTGGGGTCAGAGAATCTCCACCGAACGAACAAAAAAAACGCTTCCAAATAATCGCTTTCACAAATGCTTGTGCCGGTTCTTTCCTTTTGGGAACAGAAACCAATCCAACCCGACAGAGAGCCCCCTGGCCTTATCGGAAGGGTGCCACTGCTTTGCATGCTGCGCGTGGCCAATGTTGATTAGCCTTTTCATTGAGATAGGCGTAGGTGTTCGTGTTTAGAGCACGGTGTAAAGTGGTTTTGTGGCCATCGGACACACAGACCGTCGATGGCACTTCCTGGTTTCACCAAGGTGCGAGGAACAGGAGTTCTGCACATGCCAACTCCAACTCGTTGAGCACAGGGTGACCTAGGGTGACCTCGCACTGCCAGCCGTACTGTTGGGAACAGACGCAGATCCGTCACTGCCGGGTGTGGCAACACCAAACATCGGGCTGGCGTACACGACGGAAGACGAAAAACGGCATCAGGTTGCACTTTGGTTCTCTGTTAAGGCCGTGCCGCTCTGTCTATCTCAAGTTCAGAACTCCGGGTGCAGTACCAACACGAGCTCCGTCGAAATGCGACGAATCGCACGACCGGGATATCGCGAATGAAACCGCAACCGACGTGTACCCTTGGGGTCCTTCCGGAAGAACAGCAACCCTTCGGTGCAGCTGAAGCTCTACGTTTCTAGCGTTCACTTTTCCGTCTTCTGTCCTTGCCGCGCCCCGTTCTCATCCTCAGACGGAACCGAAGACTTGAATGCATTCCCCACTGCCCTGCTGACCGCCGCCTTCTCTTCCCGGACGTCCGCGCGTACCCCGCGCATAGCGTTGGCCCGGAAACTGTTGCCGCTGTCGGCCCCTCCCCAACCTGCTCCCTCGGTTTCCATCGCGGCGCTGTTGCGCTTAACCAGTCCGCACCCAGCGATGACAGCCTGCGTCGAACAGGTTTTGGCGGCGGATGTTCGCAAACACCAAGGGCGCCTAGTCATGCATACCGTAGTCGTTTGGTCAGGATCTTGCATCCTCTAAAAAGCCGGGAGGGCACAAGCCGGTTTTTCACCGAACGGAGCAACAGGACATGGTAAACCGGAACTTTGTGTTTCGGCACTGTATATTTCACGGATCTTCCATTCTAACGCAAGCGTCGCCGTGATGCAGTCGATGAGACGTGAAGTAGCAGGAGATACTCGGCAGCGAGGCACCAATTTCCACAGCATTGGAATCCCATACCGGTCCAACTGACACGGAAGGCTGCGCGTCAATTGGACCAGCACCGATAGTACAAGGTCCTGAACGGAGACCGGAACGGTTTGTTTGTGTGAAGACCACAACAATTGAAATCCCAGCAGGCAGATTAGCAGTTGCCCGTAGACATTTCAGCGTCGTTCTCGTCAGCTTTCTCGAAAGGTAACGTAGTCCCACAGGAGAATAAAGACGCAACAATCAAGGTGCTCTGCAAGACAACTACCGAGGGACCTCATCGTTTCCACCACTGATCACGTCATGCTTAAGATCGTTTCCAGTCTCGGCGACTCCTACCAAGCACGGCGAGCAAACGGAACAGCCGGCACATTGCTGCTTCCATTCCTCCCGATTCCCCATCAACAAGCTGTCTGTAAGCTTCCGAATCCAGGAACTAGGGCGAACGCTTCGCCAACGCTTCGCCTTATATGTGGTTTGTCGACCCCTAGACGCCTACTATTAGGCTGACCGAATAAAATTTTCGTGGGTAGTTCGAATGGGCGATGGGCGGCTCCCCGATGGGTTCGAGGTCACACGGGGCGAGCTGTCGCGATTGATTACTCGCTGTTCAGCATCGTTTGCAGCCGTGACGGACGTGATGCTGCAGCGCTTCGGCAAAACCCATCCAGGGACTGTTCACTCCATGATGAAGAAAAGCGAGAAATCTACGGTTAACATCCGCCAAATCGGGTGTAGATTGAGTGTGTGTGGGTACGGCACGGTCATGATGCGTGGATTGACGCAGACAGGACTAGCGGGAAACTTGACAGATATTGGTAACAATGAGCCGTTCGTTTGGCTGTTTTACTGCCGTGGAAGAGCACGGCAGAGCCTCTGATGCGACTAGGACTATGACTAGGACTAGCGGGAACCTTGACAGATGTAGCGAAACCGTTCCGTTCGTACGGCAAAGCCTCTTATGCGAACATCGGAGGGAGAAGGCACACAACCCTGTAGCCAAATCAATCAAACTCGTCCGCATGAACCTCGGAGGAGGCAAGATTCTCGATTTTGGAATTTAGATTCAAGTCTCGATTGAAAGATTCAGATTGAAATACAATATCAAGATTTGAAAAAAAACAAAAGTGGGTCGTGTAAAAACGGTTCCAACAACAATACAACAATAAACACTCAACGCTTTGCGTGCAAGACGTGGAAACCCTAGACAACTGAATCTTCAGCGGGTTTCACCCCTCGAAGACGCTTGTCACGCGTGAAGATTAGGGGGGGGGGGCTGTACATGTACGCGACCACTCCCAGAAACACCCAACACGCTGAGCTAAACACCCTCCGCGAAGTAACAGAAATAAGGCAAGAGGGAGCACATAGGGACAACTAATATGAAGCAGAGATCCCGTCGGTTTCGGCCGTATTCGTCGTGACACCCTAAGTCAACAGTACTAGCGCCAAGCCTGGTCAATCACCCCGTCACCTTGCCGCTCAGCTTCCCACTCCTGCTGCCCAGGTCCTCGATCCTGCAGCAGGCGAAGCGTCGATCGGCGAACGGAAGCACAACGTCGCGCATCAAGACGGCCGTGTGGAGCGGAATTCGAGTCGTTAACCAATGGGTTCCTTTCGTCATGCCTGCTCCCGCTTGTAATTTGTATGTCTAGCTCAATCAATACATACGCACATCATACGAGCGCGCTGACAGAATCAGGGACAGGGGAGCCGCAGCTTTTGGATTGCTCAGCCTGCAACAACAACGCGAACAACCAAAAGTAGCTCGCAGCGTGTGAGCGAATGAACTGCTGGATCCCTCCCCCGCAGCGTAGTCCCTCTTCCGTCCCGTCTAACACTGACAACGCAATTCAAAAATACAACCCAATCAAAGAGGAATTTGCCCGTTGCCGTGGCCCACGAAACCACTGGGGCGAACAGTAACGGCAGAATGTAGACGGGGGGGGGGAGCGCACGCACCGGAAGACGACATCCATTCCCTGAAGAACTTGCCCGAACACGACATGCTTGCCGTCGAGCCATCCGCACGGGGCGGTGGTGATGAAAAACTGACTGCCATTAGAATTCGGCCCTGAGTTGGCCATGCTCAAAACCTGGGGGTGATAGGGTTAGTTGTTAGCCTTGCGCATAAAACACATATGCCGCTGTGATTGTCTGATCGCGCGCTTGCTCGCCAAGTGCCTGCTTAGCAAGGCGGCTGTCTGGAGTTTGTTTGCACCGTGAGACTGCTGCTTCGGTAGGTGGGTGTGCGTTTGGGGTGAAATCTTACACTCTTGGGAAAAAACGTGCGGCTCCGTCTCATTGATCTTACTGCAAAATAGGACGCGGTCAACAGGTTTACGTAGCGTGTGTCTGTCTCCCTACCCAAAAGTGTTAGATTAGGTGACCCTCCAACCGAAGCATCACTCGTGGTCTTCTTGTGTGTATACGTTGTTGATTCTCTATCGTCGGTGAGAAGCCAGCCTTTGCTGGCCATGGTGGAGGCCAAACCAGCGTCAATGTCACAAAGGCACCGGACACCTATCCCATGTAGGGCCCACTCAAATTCAAATTGTCTTCCCCAAACAACACCCACGTTTTCAACTCGGCGGCAAGCGGCATTTCCGAAGCTTCGGTATTTGATACCTACCTACGCATACCGTGGACAGATTTTTTCAAAGCTTGGCTGCCCTGCAGCAAATACAATTCTGTTGCCGGAAACAATGGCGGCCTTGGATATTTCTCGTCGAGGGCTTTTTCTATCATTTGATTTTGGTGTACTCTACATCGTGGAGAAATACAGCTTCGAAAATCGGTCCTTGGGGTGTAATACCGTACGCAACCCACGGTAAATCGCTCCACCCTTCGTAGAGTCCCGTATCTATCATTGATCAACCCTTGACTCACCCCAGGCCCGACATGCTTCAGCTGAGACATATCTTCGTCGTCGAACTTCGCTCCAAAAATTGAGACTCCCCCGGTTCCATTGCCTCTCGTAAAATCACCTCCCTGTTTCGTGGCAGAGAAGAGGGCAAGATATCGTGCTGCTAGTGCTTGCGTCCACACAGTCTCCCAACCGACCGCAACACCCCTGAATTCCGAAAGGACCGCCAGAGGGCGGCACGTCGCGGTCTCATTGGCTGAACAGGTCACGGGGCACAGCGCCGACCAAGCGATTCGACCGTCGCGAAAGGGCTGTCCTGAACGCATGACCTGAGAATCACGCACACCTTGAAAGGAATGCCTTTATGGTGCATCCCATCGGCACACAGGTGGCAACAGGTATGTGTCCAGTGGTCTACAAAACGACGCACATAAGCAGCCGCTCCTGGCGGGAACCGCTAAAGAGCGCGCGGGGGCCAAGAGTTTCACCTGAACCATGAAGCCAGGTATGGCGCGATGAAAAATAGACCCTTTGTAGCCGAAGGGCTGTCTCCTCTGCTTCTGTTGCGAAAAAACGAAAACGGAGAAGACATTGATTTTTCGGTAGCGATAGCAATCCCATCGCATGCATTGCAACTGGCGAGCATTGACCATGCATGGGGACAGGGGGGGGGGGCTGAAAAAACATCTTCCGAATGAGAAAAGGAAATACCAAATCCCACCCCAACGTTCGGTTGGGCGGGGCAAGTCTAGCCCTACTGGCTGGAAAAATCACGTGGTGCCTCGTACGCGTATGAGCGACACCGACGTTTGCATAGCAATCCCCCAAGCCCCTGGTACCCGAAGCTTCGTCGACCTATGGGACCATCTACACGTAGGCGCAAGCTGTACGTCGACTGCGCATGGCCATGGTGTGCTACAGAACGCGCCACGCATTAAGAACATAGCAGTTACGAACTTGAGCCTAAAAGAATCCAACATCTAAGACCTTGGCCATAAGAACAGATGCTCAGTCCTACACTAGAACCTATATTTAGTCGCCGCGGGGATACAGTACGCCATAGACAAAATAAGAAACGAGCTTAGGCCAAAATATGCCCATTGCTTCCGTACCGGGTCTCCTTTGCAGAGGCCGACGAAGTTCTTAGCTGTCCTGGGAACGACCGCTCCGTACAGCCCCATGATCACCCTCCCCGCCGGTAAGCCGTCAATCTCCACGTCGAAGAAAACCTTGTCCGTTACCGCGGCCTGTTCTCAAGCAGGAGAGTTAGACGTCGAAAGGAAGAGAATGAGTTGTCATCGCGGCCTGTTGTCCAGCAAGGCAAGGACGGAAAGCAGAAAACAACATGGAGACGAAGAAAAGGTCATTTGCGATCTCATCTCAAGCATTCACGCTACCAAAGTCAACAGGACAACGAACTGCTGTTACACCCAACATGAAAACCAGCACTGTAGAGATTACTTTTGTTGTGGTATTGTAAGAAAACTACAAAAAACGAATATGCGGGTGAAAAACAGGAGAGTAGCGAAAGGTTGAACAACATTCTCGGGCTGTCAAGAGTGACGGGAGGAACTACATACAGTACACCGAGAGGAAAGCACCGTCGAAAATCGAACAAGACACAAAAACATTATGAGTGTTGCAGTTGTGTTCACACCATCTTCAGCTGAATAACACCATCAGACAACACACCAACAACAGCAACGCTAACGGCGGCAGCAGAACGAACACACAGCACAAAAGCGTCGTCGACAAGATTACCTGAGGAATAGCTGGCTCTTCGTCGTCGTCTGTGGGTGATGCCTGCAAGCAAGGCCACATGCAACGAGACGTACAGCAGTAGAGCATGCCAGGTCACAGACAGCGACACACCAAACGACGAATCCATTGCGAGAAGCAGCAGGAGGGGGGAAGAGAGAGACTAAGACGAGACTGGAAGTCTCAAGCGGCCAGCTGTCGGACGGATCAAGGCATTTACAAGGTACAGGGCTGGTATAGGTAATCTAGGCAACCAGCCTGAGGTTATGTATGACAACAATGTCAGCGCACATTCGGTGGCAGGCAGGGCAGAGACGAAGCGACTGTTTAAGAAAGTGTTAGGAGGATGGCGGAGTGGCCGCCAACATACCAGCGTTGTGAGGTTCATGCCCAAATCCCCCATGCCAGAGGATGCTGCCACCGGGTCATCCCTCCTCCCGATGTTGGAAACATGAAGGTATTTCATCTAAACACCCTGGCGGTCGGTCTTTGGTCGAATACCAATCCACCGCCTTATCCTCGCCTCCGAACACTTTCTTGGAGATACACTCCTATACTATACACTCTAGGAGTGTTCGTATCCTCAGGCTGTCTAGCCCAGACTGCTGGACAGTCAATGAGCAAACGGCCGAGAGGTTAGGGACCGGTACAGCAGTTGGTGCAGAGCTTCCCCAGCACGACTACCGCAAACAAACATGCGTATGTACCGTAAGATGACAGAAAATATCACACCCCCCGTGGCCCGATTTTCAAGGCTCAATTACTACTCCCCACGGCAGAAAGAGTGGCGGTGCCGACGAATCGCATTGTTGGTACCGCGTGCCGTCGAGAGTTTTCCAAAGACTTGTCGTTGGATTCATGCATTCTCTTCCATCGTGGAGTAATCGGTAAATCGAGCTTTCAGGATGGGCCAAGGGAGTGTGCTATCTCACGTCAATATCCCTCCCTCTCCTTGTTTTCCTACCGGTGTGCTTCCCTTCGAAGATCCAGAACCTTTGAGGAGCTGCGCGCCGAAGTACCCTCCAGCGAACAAGAGCGCCGCGCCCACCAGCGTAAGCGCTCCCCCGCCCCGCTTGCCGCTGTTGTTGTTCGCCGGAGGCGGCGGGGTAGTCGAACCTCCGGCCGTAGAGGTGGTGGTAGTGGAATACCCGGCGGTGGATGGGGCGCCCTTGACCCCCGACAGAGGGCCGTTCTCCACCTTCCTCTTGGCCAGTGCCGCCGATCGAACAGCGTCTCTGGTAAAAGCAGTTGTATCGTGGCGAGGACTGGCTGCTATGCCAGACGCAGAAGAGGTGCTACAGCTGCTGTGGGTACGCCGGATGTATGCATTGTAGGAGCAGGATTCCAGGGGTCGGTAGTCGACAACCCTTACGGTGCTGGAATGGGAAGCCCGAGAACCGGCCGAAGCGCGAACGGTTCGAATGAACGCCTGTCGGCATCCAGTGCTAGAGGGGAGGTTCATCCTGATCTACTCCGTCAACGCTGTGCTCTCGCTGTGTGTGTGTGATATCTTCAAATGCAAAACATATTTTGAACCGCTATACTGACCGGCGGGGGAGTCACATACAGCAGATTACTATCTTCTGCGGTGCCCCTGCCCGCTTCTCGGGACGGCGGCAAGACGGCGGCAACGGGCACTTCAACACTGTGGCGCGGCGGCATACGTCCTGCTGCTGTGCCCTAACAAAGACCTTGGCGTAATGGAATTATCTCCTCGTCATGAGCAGCCTGTTCTTCCCGCTGGAGGGAGCGCTCCCCCAGGTACGTTCGATACCAGCGGAGAACAACAAATGAAAGAAAGCCGGTGTCCGCGGGCGCCCTATCTACAGCAGTGCAAGAAGTCCTTGCATGTTCCAAGTCTTCTACCCCCCTGTAGCCAGCAAGATCGGTAGCAATTAACCCACCATTTTATCCTATATGCACGGCTGCTGGGTAGTCTCACTGCAGAACTCGCTGATGAGAGAGGCGAAAATTATTGCCAAGACTCGATGTTGTGGTACTGATGCCTGCTGCACTGTTTCCTGTAGTTGCACGCGGGATGTTTGGCCTACAGCAGACAGCAGTACTGCTGTAACCCCCCCGGCTTCTCGGCAGACAACCGCTGGAACAATACATTGGAGGGCCCTTAATAACGCCGGTATGTGCCCGGCGCATCGACCGGCGTTATTCAATGTACATAATGACTTGTTCATTCAGTCTGTGCCCAGCAATTTCGCCGGCGCTTTATAGGGCACCGGCCCTAATCCACCGGCTACCGCGCTATTGGCACACACCCACTGCTGTAATCTACAACCGCGGTGAGCGACTCGCATCTCTGCGATCTGAACGGTTGCTATGTCTCGCTTTTTGCGAACATCACCAGTTATTTTCCTTCTTCGGTAACCATGTCGGCCTCTTGCTGCTACAGCCAAGTGTTGTACATGCTGACTAGCAAGTGTTACCGAACTGCTGTTCTCTCGGTATACCGAAGGTTAGCCTGGTTGTAGTTTGTGCAGCTCGGGTTCATTCAACCTCATCGTCGGCTTCCGAGCGGTCCAACTTGTTTATTTAACAAGCATCACCACACCTTGTCGGCTGCCCCTAAACTCTGCGCGCAGCTCAATACAACCCCTCTTGGGATGCGCCAGGCAACACGCTGACGTCTTTGTTGCCAATGGGGAAGCCGCCCCGGGCGGGAGCGGAGAGCGACCAGCCGTTGGCGCAGCAAGGGAAGCGGCCATTGGGCAGCACCGTGAGTAGAGGAGACAAAGCCTGTTTCGGTTCCATAAGCGAGAACCATCTTCGCGAGGATTTTATTATTAATCTATCGTATATAGAGAGGGGGGTTTCGTATTCCTATGATACTCCTACTGTAACCGTAACCCCGTACTAATACCAAGCTCGCGAGTGCTACTGATAGGCGATTGATCCCGTATGGTTTTTTCGTTATATTCGGCCTCCGTATCGTTGACTTCCGCGGAGAACGATGTCGATGGGGTTGGATCCACCGCCAACTGCTGCTGCTGTTGGCTGGGCGGGATTTATTACGAACAACGTCCAACAAGTCGACGGCAAGCCTGAGTCTATGTCTGCCTTCTTACACGTCCCGTTTCTCCAGCTCTTGGGCCTATTTTCTGCTTGTCTTGCCAGTCCCTTTTCGTTCATGCTAGACCTCCCCCCGAGAACACCGTAGTTTGGCTCTCAATGCGGTGCCCCCCCCCCCCCCCCCGCGCCCCGGCCCAAAATCCCCACTCCAAACATATGGTCCAAAACGTTTTGGGGAATCCCGAATGGTTTTTTTCCCCGGCCCTCCAAATTTTAATCCCTGGGGCCCCCAAAAAAAAAAAAAAAACCAAAAAACCCGAACGTGGTGTCTTTTGTAATGGGTTTATCTTGGGGGGTGGAAATTTTTTCCTCAATTTTGGCCCTAACACTATCCCCGGTTGGGGTCCTAAAAGGCCAAAAGGGAAACAAAAAAATAAAAGAAAAACATGTGGGTAAATCCAAATGGGGTCTACCCCCCCAAAGGGATCTACCGGGCTTCCCTTTTTCAAAACTCGCTCCCCAAAAAAAAATGTGTCTCCCGAAATGTAACTCACCCCCCAAAAAAAGGAAGGAGGGGGAAGAAAACCACCCTAAATCTGCTTTTTCCGGTAATGGGGGGGTCCCCGCAAAAAGGAACATCACTTTTAAACCTGGTAATTTTCCACCCAAGGTAATGGCCCCTGTGGTGTAAACCCACAACCAATGGAAAAAGGTTAACTGTGGGAATCTTTAAATGAACACCTGTTTTCATGGGGCAA